ATGGCAGGTGTGATATCAGTTTACCCTCCACCTGTTTGTGTGTTTAAAAGCTGCTATGCCTTGAGGTACTTATTAAATTTAGTTTTGTGAGTAATTCCTGTGTGAATTTTCTTTCAAAATTAACAAGCAGGATAAAACACATTTTAACGCCATTTTATTATTTGACAGTGATTACCGACTAATGACAATAAGCTAAATACAAAAATGACAGTCTGAATTTCAGGGTGTCTCAATAGTTGGATAAAACTTTAGAAAGATGAAATGTCATGATTGTGTTATGAATAAATAATCTTTCACACTCTTAATTTGTTTATTTGCATTTCTATTGTCCATTTGTAGCTTGTACATTATTTGCAGAAGGTCAACTTTACCACACCATTTGGTGATGAAGTGTCATTTGATGAGAATGGTGATGCCATACCAATATATGATATCATGAACTGGCTATGGCTCCCTGATGGAAGAACTAAAGTTCAGAATGTGGGTGAGGTTAAGAGGTCAGACTCCAAAGGTGAAGAACTCACAATTGACGAAAGCAAAATTTTTTGGAACTTTGAATCGAACAAGGTTATTTTAGCTTTTTCAAATACCTCTCCTTTATGAAATCTAAAATAAGGGTATAATAGCAACTAATAGGATACCAGAATTTAATTGTCTCCCTACAGCCACCCCGGTCAGTGTGCAGGTGAGAACTGTCCTCCAGGACCCGCTTGCAAAGGGAAAGAAGGGGAACCTGTGTGCTGTTCTTGACTGTCATCCTTGTTCTGAGGGAAAGATCAGCATAAGACTGGTAATGTTTGGTTGTCAATATGTAATTTATATTTTAAGATATTATATACAGTTTATAAGAATGTATCTCCCCATTTCCCCCTTTTTCAAGGGACTCCATGGAGTGCACCAGTTTCAGAGGACTTCTGGTCCAGTCTCAGCGTGGACCACTTGTGTTCCTAGAAAACGAGTTTCCTCCTACAATGACCTCTGGGTATCTGTTTGACGACCACCTCATTGCTGGGCACATTTATCTGTGCTGTTGTCCTGGCAATTTCACCTGATCATCGAAGCACACCCAGGTACGCCGCCCAATAATTCAGAACTGAGTTTCGCTGCTCCTGGTGTTCACATTAAACTGTTTTTCCGTAGTTCACTAGCTGTTTATCGGCCGTCCCAGGCATCATGGACAATGCCAGCTGAGACATGCAGCATTTTGGGATCAGCTTTGTCTTTGCTGTCTCATGTAATTTTGGTGAAAAACCGCACAGGGTGGTTCTCTGGCCTGTGTTCAAGGGCTTCCAAGCCAGGAGTGGAACAGTCTGAAGTGGGTTTGTGCTAGCAGCAGAGAGGGACAGTTCTTGGTTCTTACTCTCCAGGCAATAATTGCACTGCCTGGTCTGTCTTCTTCCTCACAGCTCTTAAAACCTAATACTACAATGAACAAGATGTTATGAGTGTGGTAGTCGGTCTACCATTGCTTTTGCAGTGTTACTTGGCTATATTGCCTTACTGGCTATCCATTAGCTTCTGTTGCAATTTTGCAAGGAATCTTCCAGACAACTTCAATGAGGCCAAGTTTCTCACTTTCAGCATGCTGATTTGCTGTGTGGGTGGCCTTTGTCCCAGCTTATGTCAACTCACCAGGCAAATATGCTGATGCTGTGGAGGTATTTGCCATTCTGGCCTCAAGTTTCGGCCTCTTGCTGGCACTGTTTGGACCCAAATGTTTCATAATCCTGCTGAGACCAGAGAGGAACACAAAGAAAGCCATCATGGGTCGAGGAACCATTAAGTCATGAAAGCAGCATATACAGGAAAATTATCAGTTAGTCATAACCATTAGTATGTATTTTGCATTCATTCATTAGTGATCTTCCCCTTAAATTGCCAGCAGAAGTAACCTGCTTTAAAACTCCAGAATTTTGTTTACTGTATAAAAGAAATTTGGAAGAAACCAGAAGAAATAAATGTTTGTGTGAAACAGAATCTTACTTTATTGTTTCTGCCTAGATTCTGAGAGAATCTGAAAGGCTTCAGTTTCTACCTGACTAAAACTCAAAGATTAAATTAAACTACTTTTCCTGTGACTGTTGATTATGAAGAAGCTGTCTCCAAACAAGAGAAAACAACAGGAATCACATCATCATTACATTATTGTCATAATAATTTACACAAGTCTGATTAATGGAAACATTTATATGTGGAATTAAGATAAAGGCCAAATCTTGAATGTTGTCATTGTATGTGAATATGAGCCAAGAAGCATAACTTATCCAGGTTGCACTTACTTTACTACCTGAAGAGCAGCTAAAACATTACACAATATTTACTATATCATGTATAGAGGTTTTCGCTTTGAGACAAAAAGCAAAACATATTCTGCATAGATTGTGATTCTTTTTGTACCCGAATTGACACCCTTAAGGTCATTGTGAATTAAAATGTTTGTAAATGACTCATTTGCAAGTTCCTTTTTAAAGTTTTTAAGGTTCCCATTTACAATAACCCTCACAGAATACAAAAGGACAAAGAGTATAACAATTCCTCTAAAACCTAACCTTGTGTATTCACATGATGCTACCCATTTTTGTTGCAAATTTCAAGATTTTTAATGAAGCAGGTCATGGTTGGTTTAATATAAATCAAGTGTCTAATTACCAGACAACCTGTGCTTAATAAAACCAATTTGGCCTGACTTAACAAATTGAGGTAAAAATATTACATAAAGAGTTAAGTGAACATTTTACGCTCAATACAATCTTTTCAGTCATAAAAGGCAATCCTGTGGACACTAAATATGCATCCCCTTTTATCTTTTAAGATAAAAGATGAATAAGCTATGCCTTTATTACAAGTGTTTAACATAATTTAAGTATGTCTTTTAGAGGAAGGCAGTTTGAGTATACTGCCTTTTCAGTCAAGTCATCAAGTTTTTACTCTTTTTGGAATTAGTGCCATTTAGCAGTGAGGTTGCAGATTACAACCAACTAAATACCCCCCATCTCACCATAGCCATCCAAGGGTGCAGAATTTATGATTGCAGTGGAATTAATTTTGCTTGAGCTCATGACAACACCATAGCTACACCATATCATACTATTTCAGAACAGAATAAAACCACTCCTCTCTAAAAAATGGTAAATTGCAGCATGAACCACACATTTAAGCATTACAAGGCAATGTCAAACTACCCCACAAACATATGGTACATATATTACATTTTATTGATGAAATGGCATATGTAATACCAAGATAATAACAATATATATAAAAAAGAAAAAAATCTAAATGATTAAAGAGGTAAGTAAAGAGGACTAAAACAATAGGCTCCTCAGTCAATGTCATCTGGTGGATTATAGTGCCCAGACACTTATAAAATGTTTTTTGAATAATAAACTGTATGGGTTGTGATTTTCCAATAAAAAAACAAAAGAAGATAAACATTAACGCTCATCCTACTCACTGGAGTACCTGTAGAATATAGAGGTATACTTTTTATCATGTCTCAGAAGTGCTTTCTATCATTCCAGTTTTTCATGACTTTGTCAATCAATGTGTTTGTACTGAATTCATATCACTGTTTCCTGTTTCAGATTTAATTTTCTGGTTTTAGAAAAGAACTATGTATTGGGGTCCTGGGGAGCCCAGTCAAAAGCACCCAAAGTATCATACACTATCAGGTGTTGTGACAATGTGTGATGGTGTGCTATCAAAACACCTGATATCATGTGCTATTTTAGTTTTACACAATTTGCAAATTAACATTATTACATAAATAATAATGCTTTGGGAAAATATAAATTAACATTTTTCTGTGATAATTGTTTGTTACAGTAGTTTATACTCGGGTGCCCAGCAACCACAAGTAGTCGTCCAAGTTGTATGTTGAACATGCTGGTAGAATGAGGTTAAAAATAATTTATAAAATGTGGGTAATGGATTATATCATGATTATTTTTGCTGAAAAAAACAATTTTACATCAAGTTTTATATGTTATAATAAGATAATTAAGTTTATTTGTGTGTTATGTCCTGCCCCCATAGCCCGTGCTCTCATGAGGGATGTGAAAGACCAAATAATGACGGAAAGCATGCAATGGGGATGACATAGCCCTGCATATAAAATTAAACAACCTTATATGAAGAATAGAAACAGTTGTGAAGGGAGGAGGGCAATTATGGGAGCTTTTCTTGACACATATTTCTTTCTGTGTGTCCACCTTATTTTGTTTTTTTTGTCTTCCTCCTCTTTATGCCCTGCGTCTTCCTCTATTCCCTCATCTTGTAAATTACGGAGAAAGTTTCATCTTAATGAAGTGCACAAGCCTGGCGATGTGGTTCTAGGTGGGCTGTTTGAGGTCCACTACACCTCTGTCTTTCCTGAGCGAACATTTTCCTCAGAGCCACAACAGCCCATCTGCAAAGGGTAAGTTTGACACACATACAGCAGCCAGCACAAATCTGCAAATAATCTCATCTACTCAGAGTATTCATTGGTACAGAAGAAAATGTCACTGTGCTGAAATGCTTAGGAAACATGAGTAATGTAACTTTTCATGACAGTTTTAGTGATAGGCTTATTTTTAAAAATGCATCTGTATTCTGTATAATATGGTATTTCCATAGCTTTACTGTTGTGTTTCATATACATCTACCCAGTTCTCACAGTGCCATATTACTTTTTGGTGGTTAATTGTGACAATTTGTGTGTTAGCTTTGACACTCTAGGATTCAGGCATGCAATGACCATGGCCTTTGCTATTGATGAGATCAACAAGAACTCCAATCTCCTACCTAATGTGACTCTCGGATACAGTCTTTATGATAACTGTGGTGCACTTGTTGTTGGATTCAGTGGTGCGTTATCACTGGCAAGTGGACGAGAAGAGCAGTTTCTGCTTCAACAGAACTGTTTCGGGTCCCCTCCAGTCCTGGGGATTGTGGGTGATCACTATTCAACATTTTCTATTGCTGCCTCCAATGTGCTAGGTTTATACAAAATGCCCATTGTAAGTGTTCTTTTTAATGCACAGTGTTTGAATTATTTTCATCTTTCAAAGTAATACATTGCTAAAATATGAAAATATTTCAAATGGGTCTGACTTGTATGAGATGAGTAACCTGTGTGTATGTATGTGTTTCTTTATAGGTGAGTTATTTTGCTACATGTTCCTGCTTGAGTGATCGGCAACGGTTTCCATCTTTCTTTAGAACAATTCCAAGTGATGCTTTCCAGGTGAAACTCCATTAGCAAAATTAAAAACTACAAAAATATGTTTCACAGTACAGCTTGTGAAATATGTCCCTAATGTTTTTTTTATTTTTTATTTCCTGAACTCTTAACTCTATAAGTTACATTAATTAAAGTTAGATATATGTTATTTTAGGAGAACATATTGTCTGTGCACTAATTGCTTCACACTAATATATCCACTTAGGTGCGTGCTATGATTCAGATTCTAAAACACTTTGGCTGGACTTGGGTAGGCCTGCTGGTCAGTGATGATGACTATGGACTCCATGTTGCTCGTTCCTTCCAGTCTGACCTGGCTCAGTCTGGTGGAGGTTGTCTGGCCTACTTGAAGGTTTTGCCCTGGGACAGTGATCCAAGTGAACTCAGAAGGATTGTGGATGTGATAAAGACATCAACAGCTCGTGTGGTCATGGTGTTTGCACACGAAATCCACATGTTTCAACTTATGGAAGAGGTTGGAATTAAAATGTAATGAATGAAATTAATGATTTTTGGAAACGTAAGATGAGGAATTTATTTTTTGTCTGTAGCAAAATTCCTTTACCAAAATCAAATCAAATTCAATCAAAGAAAATGATCTAAAAAAGCAAATTTCGTTTCGATCATTGTGAGATCAATATGTTTGGTAACATTACCTGTACATAGAGATGAAAAAACAATTGAACCTGTCAACGATCCACTAGTTGACAAAATCGCTTGAAATATTTGAAAATGTTTCCATCAGTGTGAAGGAGGGAAAGGACCATTCCCAAATAATCAAAAATAAATAATTAAATTATTCAAATAAATGTATTAAATTGGCTTGGTAATAAAGCTTACGACAAACGGAAGTTTGTTATAACATTCAGTTATGTATTTTGAGAAAATCCAAACCACTCAAAGAGCTTATTTACCTGACTTTATAGTATGTGCTTCTTTTTTAAACATAGATTCCAATAGGCAGGTCCTATGTTAAATTGAGCACCTTGTGCTGTCCTTAATAAGATGTTTTTTTAAAATCTCTACCTATGTTACAAAAAATGTTTGTAGAGAATTGCTGTACACAACATTTGCAGATGACTGTATTTTTTCAGCAGTTTTGTTTTATATAATGTTATGCAGGTGGTGAGGCAGAATGTAACAGGCAGACAGTGGATAGCAAGTGAAGCCCTGACAACAGCCACTGTGCTCCAGACACCCAGCCTCATGCCGTACCTGGCTGGGACGTTGGGCATTGCCATCCGTCGAGGAGAAATACCAGGACTCAGGGAATTCCTCTTACAAATACGTCCTAACCAAAATGACAATGACTTCGGAAATAGCATGGTAAGAATTTAATCACACAATTTGGTCTACAATTGCAAGAATAATATGTTGTGATTTCTGTTAATACTGACTTTTTAATATTTCAGGTTAGACAATTTTGGGAATACACATTTCAGTGTAGATTTGATCCAGCAGGTTGGGTGGAAGCAGAGGGACCACTAAGTATGGACAGGAAGATATTGAAAATGTGGAACTGAGTTTTGGATCTTTCTAACCTCAGCCTGAGTACAAGTTACAAGCTTTGTATGCTCTGGCATATGCGTTTGATAACATGCTGCAGTGCGAGCCAGGGCGAGGGCCTTTCAGTGGGCACAGCTGTGCCACTTCAGAAAGACTGGAGCCATGGCAGGTGTGATATGTATTTACACTCCACCTGTTTATGTTTTGAAAACAGCTGCTTCCGCTTGAGGTACTTAATGAATTTAGTTTTGTTCACATAGGATATTGTGGAAAAAATACATTTTGCAATGGAATTGATAGTGGCTACTAATTTTATTATTTCGTTAAAAAGTAAAATATTTAATACTACAAGTAGCAGGATAAAACGCTTTTCTATTTTGTTTTGTGACAAAGATCACTGACTGCTAGGTAACCAGTTAGACTAAAATTAAAATGTCGTGATTTTGTTGCAAATCATTTGAACAATAGGTTAAACCTGCTTTTGAATGGAGTCTGTCACAATTTTTATATTTTTTTCTTATATATTCTCTATTTGTAGCTTGTACATTATTTGCAAAAGGTCAACTTCACCACACAATTTGGTGATGAAGTGTCATTTGATGAGAATGGTGATGCTTTACCAATATATGATATCATGAACTGGCTATGGCTCCCTGATGGAAGAACTAAAGTTCAGAATGTGGGTGAAGTTAAGAAGTCTGCCTTCAAAAGTGAAGAACTCACAATTGATGAAAACAAAATCTTCTGGAATTTTGAATCGAACAAGGTAATTTCTGCTTTTTCAAACACATCTCCTACTGTAGATTTAGCAATGTACAATAATAAAAAATGACAAATACAATTATCTCCCTACAGTCACCCCAGTCAGTGTGCAGTGAGAGCTGTCCACCAGGAACCCGCATGGCCACAAAGAAAGGGGAACCTGTGTGTTGTTTTGACTGCATTCCTTGTTCTGAGGGAAAGATCAGCAATAAGACTAGTGGGTATTTATGTTTTCAATGTTTTTATTTTACTTAATGAATGCTATACAAAGTGAATATCTTCTGCTTTTTGTCAGACTCCATGGAATGCACCAGTTGTCCAGAAGACTTTTGGTCGAGCCCTAAGCGTAACGAATGTATTCCTAAGAAAACAGAGTTTCTCTCCTACAATGAGCCTCTGGGTATCTGTTTGACAACCACCTCGTTGCTGGGCACATTTATCTGTGCTGTTGTTTTGGGCATCTTCACCTATCATAGGCGTACACCCATGGTACGTGCTAACAATTCAGAACTGAGTTTCCTGCTTTTGGTGTCACTTAAACTGTGTTTCCTGTGTTCACTGCTGTTTAATTGGCACGTTCCCAGCTAAATGGACATGCCAGCTGAGACTGCGCATTTGGATCACTTTTGTTCTTTCTGATGTCATGGAATTATGGTGAAAAAACCACTATTAAAGTTATCATGGTGATTGTCCAAGAGCCACACAAGCCATGAGGAAATGGGTTGGAGCCAAATCTCAAAGTGGGTATTGGCGGATTGCACAGGAGAGGACAAGTCTTATTGCTTCATTGACCTCAATCAAGCGAGGTAATCAAAGCACCAGTTGCTGTGTGGAGTATTCGTATCTGCCTCACAAGAGTCCTTTATTTTAAAATCACATGAGTAACCAGTTCACGATCGGTACGCGATTATTGTAAGTTCTTACGATAGCAATGGATTAAGTTTTTAAAAACCTTTTCAGCTGACTTTCACTGCGATTACTTGGACACAGAGTACTTCTCCAGATAACTAGATAGTGGTGTGACTTGCAAGATCCGAGTCTTTTTTTTCCTGCTAGTCTTAGATTTTCGCAATATTAGCTGTTTGCTATCAGACCATGTGTGTCAAAAGCGTCTTTAGAGGACATCAGGCTTCATCGTTCGACGAATGCTTGATTTGCTCTTTGATGTTGACGCTCGCGCCCTGTTCTCGAATACACGTGTTCATTAAGACAATATTCGACCTTTGCTTTCGAACGGTGTAACAGGGTGGTCAGCTTATGTATTTCATGTCCAACAACAATTCAAGAGTTGCGCAAGGTATATATAGCTCAATTCCAAATGCCTGACATCCGAGTTTTGGCTCATCCCCTTTGTGAGCGCTGTTTAATGGACAATATAATAATCTTTGTACTAACAACTTACTAGAGTATATTTATTTGAATTTACATCGAGGAATTGATATC